CACAGTCGCCCGTTAGCCGCCCATTAGTCCATACTACACCTCGGGATCATCTGGCTGTCACTTACAAGCTATTCCGCCATACAGTCGCCCGTTAGTCCATAGTCTACTCGGGATCGTCTGGCTGTTACTTACTCGCTATTCCGCCACACAGTCGCCCGTCAGTCCATAGTCTACTCGGGATCATCTGGCTGTCACTTACTCGCTATTCCGCCACACAGTCGCCCGTCAGTCCATAGTCCACTCGGGATCATCTGGCTGTTACTTACTCGCTATTCCGCCACACAGTCGCTCGTTAGTCCATAGTCTACTCGGGATCGTCTGGCTGTCACTTACTCGCTATTCCGCCACACAGTCGCCCGTCAGTCCATAGTCTACTCGGGATCATCTGGCTGTCACTTACTCGCTATTCCGCCACACAGTCGCCCGTTAGCCGCCCATTAGTCCATACCACACCTCGGGATCGTCTGGCTGTCACTTACATACTATTCCGCCACACAGTCGCCTATTAGTCCATAGTCCGCTCAGGATCATCTGGCTATTACGTACATCCTATTCCGCCATACAGTCGCCCGTCAGTCTATACAACACCTCGGGATCATCTGGCTATTACTTACAGCCTATTCCGCCACACAGTCGCCCGTTAGCCGCCCATTAGTCCATACTACACCTCGGGATCATCTGGCTGTCACTTACAAGCTATTCCGCCACACAGTCGCCCGTTAGTCCTCTACTCGGGATCATCTGGCTATCACTTACAACCTATTCCGCCACACAGTCGCCTATTAGGCTATAGTCCACTCGGGATCATCTGGCTGTTACTTACTCGCTATTCCGCCACACAGTCGCCCGTTAGCCGCCCATTAGTCCATACTACACCTCGGGATCGTCTGGCTGTCACTTACATACTATTCCGCCATACCGTCGCCCATCAGTCCATACTACACCTCGGGATCGTCTGGCTGTCACTTACTCGCTATTCCGCCACACAGTCGCCCGTTAGCCGCCCATTAGTCCATACCACACCTCGGGATCATCTGGCTGTCACTTACATCCTATTCCGCCATACCGTCGCCCGTCAGTCCATAGTCCACTCGGGATCATCTGGCTGTCACTTACATCCTATTCCGCCATACAGTCGCCCATCAGTCCATAGTACACTCAGGATCATCTGGCTGTCGCTGCCTATATCGCCACACTAGTGCCCAGTCAGTACATATCACAACTCGGGTTCGTTTGGGTACTAATTACAGGCGACTTCCAATCACGCAGCCCAGTCAACCTGTGCATGATTCCATAGACATATGTACTGACCTCCTATGGCGAGGTCAATGAAACAATCATACTCGTGAAGTAATTGTGACGCACGTCCTATAGTTCTTTTGTTAATGAAACTTGATCTGAGAAGTGATGATACACAGCGTACTTGAAACATGTCGTCACTCAACTCAGCCTGTACCAGACTTGTCGTTGAGTCTCCCATTTCGACTTAAGATTAGGATCCTGGCTATGGTGATATTAGCTTCAGAGTGTCGAGCTTTCGAAATGTCGAGGCGTCGAGTATTTTGTGTGTTGAAGCAAGAGGAGATGAGAGATTTGCCCAGGAAGATGGGAGGAAACGAGGGGTACGTAGTATTAGGCGTCAACCTGCTGTCAGCCTTAAGGGCGAGCCTGGTGACTGCCAGTTGGCAGAGTGGAGCTAGGCAGCATAAATTATGGGAATTCTGGCCTTACGGGTGTGTACATATGCATTCAATTAATTGTGTTGTGTAAAAGGCCGTCTATCCACGCGGTCCTGTGGGCTCAGGTCCTCATCTAAGTTTCATGGGCCTGCAAGCATCGCTGCTTTAACTGTTGGACACCTCCATTTTCGTGGCCCTACCACTTCCAACATATGTATATCGCATCATATGTGGATGTGATGGTGGTGCTCCCAACAAGATACAAAATAATTACGGTCAGCCCTCGAGGTTGCGTGAGTGGAGCTCCAAAAATATCTCCTTGACGGCGCATTACCCAGTGGGTCATCTTCCAACCCACTCGACCCTTGCAAATGCCTATATACATCAAAGGAACACACAGAATAGCCAGAATAGTTTAGTATACAAGTCATCTAGCAGCAGTTTCCTTACAAAACCTCTATAACCTACTATAATTACAGCATTATCTCAGCTTGCTGTATCTAGCTTATGATCTTGATTTACCCAGAGATCCCGAGGGACCTAGAACCAAAAGGCTGCAGATAGGGATGTGGCTATAGGTGTAAATAGTTTGTACTCAGCCGAATTGTCAGTACCCGCTAATTTACATGTACTCTTGATGGCCTAGCATCTAATTGGCTACATGCCCCGGCCTCAACGTCTCCACTAGGTAATGCGCCGCCAAGGAGATCACCAAATCACCAAGGTTCCCACCATGACGTACCATGTTGGCCGGTCGGGTATCATTGAAGCCAGATGTGCACGGCAAGGTCTCCAGACTGTCGTGGGCTTAGCTTGCCCGCCTTAATTATCTGTTGCGTTCTCACTGATGAGCGGGACGTTATGATCACCGCACCATGATCTGTCTAGGTAAGGTATAGCCGAGGGTGAAAAAGCTCTTGCATCCGTCTAGTCCTGTTTTTTTTTTGGCCTCTACATCAGGGTGGTGTTCGTCTGTAAAGCTGGTTTGTCTGCGCCCTTGGGGTTTGTACTGGTTGTTGGGCGATCGTAGTCCTAGGTGGGGGACCACCGAGGTCCGCAATGGAGAACTGGGCAACTTCGGTCACTCTCTCAGCATCCGCGAAGTCTTCTTCCATAACAAAGAATTCAATGTCATTTTCTTTTTTTCTCGACTCATGCGTGACATTACGAAGCGTGTGCAGGTCCCTCTAGTGAGCCGTCGTTGTCAAAGCCAACGCCCCGAACACAACGGGAGGCTACATTTCCGGGATTGCAAATCGCCTCGACAATGACATGTAACAACTTGGCTACTGCATCTGAAAGGACTTTGTCGTCCAAAGCTGGGCGACGGGCATGCATCAGTTGGCCCCGCTTGATGCCCACGCCTGGACCTAATCGCTCGAAGCGAGCTTTGGTGGCATTGGATCGCGTATCTAGGACGTCAGGGTCATTTCCGAAGGCCCGGTGAGATTGCAATTTATCGAGGGCCTCTAGGCAAGATTTGAAAAGTCCGGCGAGCCCGACAACGCCGATGACTAGGCCTGCGGTCTCCATGACGAGGTGTATTAATTGTGTCAGCAGCATTCAACCCGGATGAGGGGAAACCTCGTATTTATGGCACTCAGCCACCTCAGCCACTCGAGCATAGGGCTCTCTCCATCAGGTCTACAAAGCCTTTGAGAAACGTCACGCAGGTTGTCGATTATAAAATCACCGGCAAAAAAAATACCTCTCCATTCTGTAGGTTAATTGTCGGCCGCCCAACACCAGACAGAGGCTTCGTCCTCTACTAACTCCAGCGCTAGGCGAAAGTCGCCCGGCCCGTGAAGGGATCGAGGCAGGTACGACTTACCCTAGAACAGTAGATAACAAATCGTTCGGCACAGTCTGTTGTCATAAACACTCCCGCACCTCCACTCAAGCCCGCAAATCACCAAGCCGGTCTACCTCGGGCATTCTTACCGACAATTATTCGGAGTTGATTCATGGCGACCGGGTATTATCGCTGTGGCAGGTTCAGGTTGATAAACATGTTCATAGTCACAACAACATACTCCAACCCCCATCAAAGCCTGGGAGCGTACAAAACCCCACACAAGATCAGTCATCTTGCTACTCATACTTACAGGCTTCTCTAACGCCGTCCTTAAAATGTGGATTCACTAGTCTCACAAGCTATCCACCAACTTACCAAAGGCTATCAAATGGCTGTGCATAGTGCAGCTATCCTTGCTGACGATAGCCGGCAATTTTGGGTAGGAAACCAACGTCAAAAGCAAAAACTTGAGCGACGTCGAAAAGATATTGGTGATTGCGGGACCCTGTCAGTTGCGAAAGGAGCAGCTACAATAAAACGATGAGGAAAGGAGGAGGAAAAGCGGGCTGAACGATGTCAAGAGGACGAGAAATGGCGTATCAAACGATAGTGAGAGAACGAAGAGCGGCAGGCTAAGCAACGACAAGAAGAGCAGGAGCGGGCCGAGTGACAACGACCAGAGGATGAGGAATCATTCAAGCTACGGCGGCAAAGGGAAGAGGTAAGATTTAGACAACGACGACAAAGGGAAGATCAAGAGGGTAAGCGACGGCAACAAGGGGAGGACTAGATCAAACAGGAGATTGAAGAGTCAAGTACTCCTAGACAGCGTGCACGACCAAGGTGCAGTAAATGCAGGTCGTTTGAACATACTGCCCGTACATGCAGTAGATAGTCCTAGATTGACGGCCTGTTAAGCTTGATCGCACGCCTACGAACTTGGTGGCATGTCGATCGGTTTGGTAGCATGTCGATCGGTTTGGTAGCATGTCTACATGGTTTTTGTTTATGATTTATTGATCGTATTAATTCTACAGATATAAAACGCTTTCGGCGCCCCGGAAGATTATTTACCTCTCTTAGCCTTTTTCCGAGCTCGGCCAGAGGTCTTGGTGCCTCGAGTTGAAGGGCCGTTTCTCTTCTGGCTGGAAGCTCGAACGCCGTCCCTACCAGTGGGCTTTGCGCCACCAGCTCCGACTGAGCCATTTTCGACTTCACCATCTCCTGTCTCAGTATCTCCGGTATCAATCGCTTGACCTTCGCCACCTTCGGTCGGGTCACGTTCAGCGCCGCCATCTCCAACTTCAACATCTCCGGTGCCATCCGCTTCATCCTGCCCATCCTTCGCCCCAGGATCTCTCGCCTCTTCCGCTTCAATTTCGCTACTGTCGACTGTATTATCTTCGCCTGAACCGCCTTCAACTGGACCACCCTCGTCTAGACCATCTTCGGCATGACCATCTGTAATATCACCCACTTCAACCTCACCATCCTTCGTCCCAACATCCCCAGTTACACCAGCTTCAGTATCACTATCTAGATCACCAGTATCGTCTTCTTTATGGTCACCGCGCGCTCCTCCTGTTACGCGACGAGAGTTCTGCTCTTTCCAGCGCGAAAGCTGCTCTTGGCGAAATGGACTCTTGAACTCAACCTTGCAACTAGCCTCTTCACCTTTCTCAGTTATCATCTTTGCTTGCACATCCATGGTGCCCGGCTTTTCAATTTCGACAATCACTTTGATCATAGTGCCGGATGGGGGAGAACCGAGGTCCGTAATGGAGAACTGGGCAACTTCAGTCGCTCTCTTAGCATCCGCAGTGTCTCCTTCCATAACAGAAAATTCAATAACATCCTTAGTTTTCTCATGAGTGAAAAGTGCTCCCGTAAATTTACCGGGAAGGAGCGCCGTTTGCTCTGCGATAACCTGCAATTGACCGTTACGGCACCATATCCCGATATTTTTTGGGAGGCTTGGTGTAATAGTAATGAGGGGATCAGAGGCAATGCATGAAGCGCCTAAAGCAACAGCTTTATCAGCGACTACTTCCTCGACAGTAGCTTTTGGGCAGGCCTTCTTAGCAAGGGCTTTGATCTCAGGGATGTTGCAAGAGCCACCCGAGAATATAAGGTGTTGTGCATCACAAACGGTACGCTCCCGCAACTGGAGTTTCCTCAGAAGTTGTTCGAAGGACCGCATCTCCTTTCGGCAGGCGCTGATAAAATCCTTCCTTGAGATATTGATCTCAGGTGGCTCCGTATCGTCAATAGCAACAGCGATATTGACCTCGTCATGTACAGATAGGGATTGTTTTGCCGACTCGCAATCCGCTCGAATGGTTTTCTTCTCGGGTCGCTTGCCAGTCTTATCTTTAGCTCTGGCGCAGACCAAGTCTAGAAGTCGATCATCTAGGTTCTTCCCGCCCAGCCTGTTATCCCCTACTACAGCGAGCACACAAAACCTTCGGATGCGGTCCTCTTGAAAGATCTGAATAACAGTCAGATCAGTCGTACCGCCGCCGACGTCAACTACCACAACAGTTTTCTCGTGGACTTTCTCCCACGAGCGTGTCACATAAACAGCAGCCGCGACTGGTTCCGGCACCAGGTCGATAACAGAGGGATCAAAGCCAGCAATTTCGGCGGCAACCAGTGTTGAATGTCTTTGCGCCTCGCCAAAATAAGCCGGGACAGTGATGATCACTTTATCCATCACGCCTCGAGGCTTCACGATATCTTGGTAGATCTTGCCGAGGAGGAATCCCGATATCTCCTCTGGGCGATACTTTCGGTCGAAAATCTTGTAACAGGCGCCGCGATCGTCCATGGCTGCCCCTGGGATGCTCTCAACATCTCCTTCCAGGCTACCATCACTCTTCGGACGCCCGATCAGCAGCTTGGAGAATTCGACGTCCATCCTCCAATCGACAGGGGGTGTCTTTTCCAGTCCGCGAAGAGACCACTTGCCTTTCTCTGTAATCTGGGCAATCGAGGGCCACAGTTCGTTCCCATACAAAATGGGGATCATCTTGCCATCACTGGCGACGCCGAGGTACGTGGTTCCAAGGTCTATGCCAATTGTTTTCCCTCGGCTCTTCGCCATCTTGTCTTGCTGTCGTTCTGCGTGAAAAAGTTGTGAGCAACGCAAATTAACCAACGGGTTTAGCGTCTACACGTCGCCCCCCTAAAAAAAAAACAATGGACAGTCCCAACCAACGTAGATTCCTGTGGTTTCCACAGCGCGTCCGAGCTCACGTGTTTCATCATGGCGTGTGTACATAAAGTATGGGCGCTCCCCAGCGACGGCTCTCGTAAGTAATATCAACCCGATAATTGCATACCCACCCACCGGGCATTCACCGGGCATTTCTTTCCTCTGACGAATCCCGAAGATTTTCCCAACCTTACGATGAGCCAAGCCACCTCAACCGTCAACATTTACGAAGTCCTCAGTTTAGGGCCCGACGGCAAGCCCTTGTGTCCGCTACTAGAATCGGCAGATATAGTCACTCATATCCGTCATATCGCCGCCAAGTCGAACTCATCCGATGTAAACGCGCTCCACGGCGAGCTTTTGGACCACGGAAAACTGCGCCGCCAACGATGGAAGAAATTACTTGAAGAGACAAATGACAAATACGCCGGCAGGCCATGCTGCCTGGTTACGCAACAACAAGACGTTCCTTCCTCGAGCACTTCCGATTTTGACAAAAGCGCCCCAGTATCACCGCGCGACGCACCTCACGACACAGAAACGCCACCTCTATCAACCGCTCCATCGACAGATTTGACAGAGCTCGATGATCTACATTCTTTCGGGGGCCTGAAGGTTGAAACAGCAAAGGTTTTGGCAGACAAGCTGGCTTCCATTTGTGATCAAAGCAGTAACGAATATGTTGCCCCCAATCTGCTTTTGCAGGTACGTCTATCTAGCCATAGGGGAGGACAGCAAACATTAACCTGAGAAGATCGCACCTGCTTTCGTTGCAGCCCTGAAAGAGCTCGCGACAACCAGCCTTTCCATGCAACTTCACGATACTATTCAGCCAATCCATTCCCCACACGATCCGACCATCGACACGGAGACCCCGAACAGCTTGTCTGATATCGTCGAACGAGACACAGCATCATCAGAGCCCGCAGAAATATCTCAACAAGCGCAAGTCAACCTCTCGATGGCAAACATAAGCGGACGTCTGCCTGCTATGAACACTAGAATTGACACCGAGCTTTTAAAATGGTGGAACAAGCCCTGTCTGTTGGTGAACACGCTGCCTCGCGGGGAAAACATTGCCCACCGCCTTTATCTCGCGGTTTCAACCCCTCGCCACCGGGGTGAATATGATCCCATTTCTCGCGCGAAAGAACGACTATATGCGATTCACTTCTCTCGCTTACAGCAACGATTCATGAAATCATATTGTAGTCAGGGCAGGGGGGACCCGCTTCTTAAATTTCTACGCAGTCTTCGGATCGGAGTCAAGCCCCAAACTTGGCAGTATGCTACGCGTCAAGGGAAGCGGTATGACATACTAAGCAAATCACATTCAGGGTTTCTCTTCCTCAACTTCAAAATCAGTGAAAGAAGGTAAGTCTTCTCGAACTTAACCACTTGCCCTTCCTACCTAACCATGCAAAGTATACGAGATCGAATGTCCCTTGAAGTTGTCTCAAAGGCAATAGAACCTTCTTTCCAGGGGCCCCTTATCGAATGGTATGACCAGCTTGGTAAGAAAGTACATATTGCGATGGAAGGTGAATGGGGTCCATGGATTACGAGTCTGATGGCAAAGCCTAATGATGTGGATAAAACCAAGAACTCACGCCGACAAAGGATCAGTGAGGTAATACAATCACAGCGAGACACATCGGCTTCGTCAAGTGCTCCGACAAGTTAGTATAAGAAGATACAAAACATTGAGCTTGTCCCGCCCATCATCTCATCGTATACTGTCGTGTTCTGACTAGGTAAATACTGGAGGGCTGGATCATTAAGCCCTTTCGGAAATCAAACAGCCAGAAAAAGAGTAAGTAAAGTTGCAATCCGTCTACCCTCTTGATACGATATATGGGAGATATTGGGAAGCTTGCTCAGGCGGTCGGCAAATGGTAGATACTGCGATGAAACCGCAATGGGGCTCAGTATTCGTTGTTATATGAAAATTGCTAATGGCGAAGGAAATCCAAACGACTCGAGTACATATAATGTAGGAAGGGCACAATATGGGTACCACAATACCCCGACATCGGCCGAGCCGTGCCTGTGCCTTCCTAGGAAGTTTGGAGGGGCTTCACCAAGATGAGCGACCAATATCAGTATTCCTCGTGTGGTAGGGTCAAAACAGCCTGCGCTCCTTGTAGGGAGCCCTCTTCCTTACAACTACTCGACCTTATTCCCACACGTAATAGTAGTAGACTAAAAGTAATACTTAAGGAAATAAAAATTAGAGCTCTTCCTCTTCCTATCCCTTTATTATATTTAGGTCTTTAAGAGTTTGGATCACTGTGCTAGTTACGGTAGAAGTGATGAGTACCGTGTGTTTCTCTATAGTACGCTTAAATGCAGATTCCATTATCTTGCTAAACTCCTCCCACACCTACTGCTGTAAGCTCGCCATATTGTACAGCCCTTCTTATTTCGTAAGATAGCTCTCAGTATTAACATTCTCGGCCGGTGTCTTGGCTTTTCGATTCCTCGTTGGCAGTGGGTATTGCAGTTTCAAAGCGTTGTAAAACTGGATTCCAGTTGGAGACGTTTGGAAGTGGTGAAATCCATGTTATAATGTTATGTTCAAGCGTCCGTCGTATGATGCCCTGATTTAGTGCAAAGACAGGCGCCGAGGCGTAAAGGAGGGGTGCCATGTCCATTAATGAACGGCTGTTAAGGGCAAAACGCTTCACATCACAAAGAAAGCTCGAGGCTTCGGCACCTTCCCTGGGCTCAATGATTTCTCTTAGCAAGTGCTGGCGCATAACTCGGCAATGACTTACATCAACCATGTTCTGCAACGCGCCTATTAGCCTGATGCTTTTCGATATCCGCTCGATAAGGCTCAAGGCTTCAATCCAGTGGAGGCCATGGCTCTTAAAAATTGGTGTGTTTGGTCCCGGTCTTGAACCATGCCCTTTCTCGATGCACGGATCCTGCGACACCCAATGCTGGGCTGATGGGCATAGATTATTCTCAGGTTGCACGATCGGAGAACAATGACTGCAGACCGTAAGGATCAGAAGAGACCAGCGCCCCGCGAGCCTCTAATGTATGTTCAACTTGTTCATGATTATTGAAGACGGATAGCTGATATGCAGTCAGACCATAGAAATCCTCTACATCGACGTTAGCCTTGCCTGTATCGAGGAGAAGCTTAACCACGGCCTCATGTCTGTTCCTAGCGGCCCATAACAGCGGCGTCCTGCCCTGATTGTCTCTCGTATCAATATCAATCTTGCCTGTATCAAGGAGAAGCTTGACCATGTCCTCGTGTCCGTACTTGGCTGCTAACAATAGCGGCGTCCAGCCTTTGTTGTCTTTCGCGTTAATATCCACCTTGCCCGTATTGAGGAGAAGCTTGACCACGGCCTTATGTCCGTTCCTAGCGGCCCACCATAGCGGCGTCCAGCTCTCCTTGTCTTTCGTGTTAATATCCACCT